ACCTTCCAGGCACCTCTGGCAGACACTCCAGGGCTCAGAGGACTCAGAAACTCAAAGTCACCCAGGGGAGTGCGGGGGCTTCATGAGCACACCCTCCTCTCCAGCTCAGGGAGGGGGAGCTGGGACGGGCAGGATGCAGGGTGAGGGAGCTGGTAGGAGAAGGCTGGAGCTGGTGGCTTCTTTTGCTCTGTCATCAAGGCAGAGGAAGAAAAACCTGCTAATCGATTGCTGCTCTCTGTCCTGCTCATCGAGTGACAGGACCAGAAGCACAGAGACCCCAGCAGCTCTCCCGTCTCTAGATGCGCAGACCAAGGAGAGGGCCCCTTGCAGAGGAGTCACAGCACGAGGGCACATCGCTGATGTCAGAGTCAGGTCTCCTCCGCCACGTTGTCAGCTGTGACTCGGGGCCTGGCGTGTTTTGGAATTGCAGGAGTCAGTGAAGGCTCTGGAGATGTGTTCGACATACACCTCCAGGAAGCCTCCTGGGATCACAGCCCCTCCCTCTCTGCTCCCTAGTGCCAGCTCTGCCCCTGAGGGCGGCCCCCCTGTGGGGAGGCGCTCAGCAGAACTCCAAGTGTTGGTCGATGGGGACGTTGTACTTGAGCTTGTGGGCTTCGAAGAGGTCGCTCAGCTCCTGGAGGTAGCGCTGGTGCAGCCTGTCCACCTCCTCCTGCGAGGGGTGCGGTGTCTTCTGCACCTCGATGGGCGTCCCCACTGCAAGACACGAAGGCGGGTGGTGGCCCAGAGCGGGAACCACCAGAGTCCTGGAGCCCTTGGGGCAGTGTCCACCCCGTGGCCATACCTATAGGACAGTACCCTTACTGCCTCCCTTTCAATTCAGTTCTTGGTGATGCACCTAAGATGTTAGGACAACTGCAAGATTGTGAAATAATAACAGCCCCAGCTGGCATTGGCTCCTGTCAGGGAACATGCTAGGTGCTTTACACGACTAACACCTTCAAGCCTCCTAACAATCCTGTGGGGACAGAACCTGCTACTATCCCTGTCTGTAGGGGAGGCAATAAGGCTCAGGTAGGTTAAGTAACTAGTCCACGGTCACGCAGCCAGGAAGAATCAGTGCCAGGTTTTAAACTCTGGAGATGTGCCCTCAACCTCCAGGACCTCGGGTTCTGGGGGCTCAGATGCCATGATTAGAGGTGCCTGGATCTCTGGGAGGAGGCGGGCCCACAGCCCAAGCAGCTCTTCTCCCCGCCTGCACCCCCCCCATGCTCACCCGCAGGGACCCCCTATCTTCCTCCCTCCTCTGGGTGTCCCGGGCTCAGCTGCCCTGCCTTCTGCTCTTGGCAATGGCTCTGGAGGCAGCAGCAGTGTGAACATGCATGAAAACACTGCCACACAACCCAGGGAAAGTCCTGGTGTAGGGGGCTGACCAAGTCAGTACTCAACCAAGCATGGACTGGGTGGTTGGAGATGAACAGACCCAACCCTACAAGCTTTGCCAGAGGAACCTACTTGGAATCCAGGAAGAAAGCAAAGGAGATGCCCAAACAGCTGCTGTACATGGTGCCCCGTCCACGCACGAAGTCCCTGCTCATTAGTCACAGGAAAATCCCTCAGGCTCTAATTGAAGGCCTGTCGGTGCTACTTTACACACAATTCTAACAGACCTAAAATGCCCTTCCCTTGTATCTGCCTTCTCCGATAAGCCTTATTAGCTCCTCTGGGTCAGAATTAAACCCTCCTTCTGTGGCATACTGAAAAGTCACATAGATCCTGATCCAAACCTCACCTTTGCTACTCTCGGGTAGTGTGATCCTTTGGGAGTTATTTAACTTTTCTGAGTCTCAGTTTACCATCCATGAAGTGGGGACGATAGGCCCCGTCTCTGTGGTTGTTGGGATAACTGAGCTGCTGCGTGTAAGGGAGCCAGTGCAGTGCCTGGTACACAGCAGGTGCTCAGTCATCAGTAGTGACTTGTCCTTTGTGCGTCTGTAAACAGTTCCCATCCCAGATGCCTTACATCCGGGTCCTCTGCCTGTGTGTCTGTTTCCCAGTCTAGATGTGAGCTCCACGAGGGCAAGGATGTGCCTGGCCCACGTCCAAGGCCCCTTGCAGCACACAGCCCGGGCCCCTTGCCCTGTAGCCTACCCGCTCCGGCCCGGGACTTGGCTCACCCACAGTGGTGATGGGCCGGCGGTAGGGCAGAAGACCAAAGCTGTACTGGAAGACACCACGGCCATGGAAGAGCGGGAAGGAGACTCCCATGATTTTCTGTAGTCGATTCTGAATCCAGCGCAACCAGGAGCCAGGAGAGTTCTCATACTGGTCAAATAGGTCATTGTCCCCAAAGGAGAAGATCGGCACCAGAGATGCCCTGGAGGGAGACAGGAGAGGGCATGTGGGAATTGCCAGCCAGTCCCCTAGCTTCCTGCAAGCAGAACCCTGGGCTGGAAGTGGGAGGTCCCACCTGTCTCCCAGTCCTGCCATGGCCTCCTTTTGTGACTGTGGGCAGGTCCTGGCTCTTCTCAGGGCCACCACCTCCCACTTGTACCATGACAGGCAGACCAGAATGCTTCAGAGAGTCCTCCCAGATGTAAAGGATTTGCAGTCTTCCCAGAAAAACTTCTTCTCCCCTTATTACCTTGTATTCGTCAAGGGTGCTTCAAGGTAGAGGAATAAGTCTAAGCTCTGCCCCAAACTCCACTCTCCCAGATCGGGTAAGTTTCAGATCTAATGCCAGCTCTGGGAAATATGACCCCTCACACCTAGTCCCTTTGATCACCAGCTCTCCCTTCTGATTCTTTTCTGAGTATTTGGCCACAAGATAGTACAGCTCTTGCCAAGTTACAATCCTCACTGTGAATCAATTGGCAATATCTCACCAAAATGCACTCTGTATTAGTGTCTGCTGCCTTCCCAACTAAAAGCAGCACTTGTTACTCTCCAGGTGCACTGAGAGCCCTCTACCCAATACCCGTGCATCAGGGCAAGTCTGATGAAGCCCTTGCGGTTCCGCAGCAACAGCATGTTGGATCCAGGTCTGGCATTCAGTGCCTCCTGGGCACCCCCTACAATGACGCCCAGCAGATTGCCGCCTCCCTTCCTGCTCAGAATGTGAGCACCACTCTCCTTGTCTGATGAGATGAGCCCTGGGGAGAGAGGAAGGTGGTCAGGTATGGGGTGAGGGGGCAGGGGCTATGGGGGAGGGTGTGTCCTGGTCTTCATTCCCTTCATCAGCTGGGAGTTCTCTGAGGACTGGGACTGAGTCATCTTCCTGGCTACTCAGGGTTGGGAAGACTCACCCCCTGACATGATGTAATCCCTGAAGAAGGGGGCCCTGAACCACAAGTTCAGCATCATCAGATGGGGGCGAATGCCAGGGAACAGCGAGGAAAAGCCGGTGCTCTCAGTGCACAGATTGATAAAAGCTCCGGTCGCCAGGATCCCATGGGGGTGGAAGCCAGCAAGGTAGTTCCGGGAGGGGTCCAGCTCGGCGGTCTTGACCAGCTGTAGGGACAGCAACCTGGTGAATCTGGGCTGGACCTCATGCTTACCCTTACTCTGCCACTCACCATTGTGACCCTGGGCAAGTTGCTGGCCCTCTCTGAGCCTCAGGTTCTTATGATGATGGAGATATAGGGTGCAAATACACCCAGTGAGACCATGGTGCCAGGTGTCTCAGACTTGCTGCTGGCTTCATTCAAATCATTTCCCTCCCTGGCTTTTCATTTATCAATTGGGGACTTTTGGTCCTGTCCCACCTACCTCCCAGGACTGCTGAGAATCTCAGGTCCAACAGTGCCCTGGAATTACCTAGACTACAGGACAGGGTAATCATAATAGTTACATTGATTTGTAGTGGATAGGGTTTGTATACCATCAAGGGCCACCCGGGGGCACCACCAAACCCAAAGAGCCCCATTTAAACAAAATCCCAAGTAAGAAAAACTGGTTGGGGCACTCTTTCCACTCTGGCTCAGCTCAGAGGCCTGGCTGCCCACCCTCAGAGTAGCCTGGTGGGACCCAAGGGACGTTGGAGCCTGTTTGCCCTACCCAGGCTGAAGAGCCTCAGACAGTCCTGTCCTTGACCTAGACTTGGTCTCTGCAGACCCCCACCTCCTGGTATACCCTCTGGTGACCCGTTGACCCTTTGTAGAAAGGCTGCAGGGACTATAGGTGGGGGGACCATTGCCTCCCAGATGAAGAGAGTCCTCTTCCACTCATGCAGCAGGAACTTACTGGCTATGAAAATGAGAACAAGCAGAGAGATTTCGGGTTATTCTCATTGGGAGAGCTGCTTCTTCAGGAATACGTTTCTTTAAAAACATATCTGGCACCCTGCACGGAAGCACTTGCTTATGAATTCCCTTTCTCAGCTAATGGGAAGGTAATTTTGTACAACTGCCATAAAGGCAACAAGACAATATCTATCACAATTGAAAAATGTACCTGATCTTTTAACCCTGCCACTGCACCACTGAGGCATTCAGCTACTGAATTTCTCACATTTGTGCAAAATGATATTGGACAAGATTATTAACAGAATGTCTCTTTTGGTAATATCAAAATTTGGCAGGCAGAAGTCCTAAGTATTTCTCCAAAGAAGACATCCAGATGGTTAACAGGCATAACATCACTAACTGTTAGAGAAATGCAAATCAAAACTACAATGAGGTATCACTTCACATGAGTGAGAATGGCCATCATTAAAAATTCTACAAATAATGAATACTGCAGAGGGTGTGAAAAAAAGGGAACCCTCCTACACTGTTGGTGGGAATGAAAATTGGTACAGCCAGTATGGAGGACAGTATGGAAGTTTCTTAAAAAATTAAAAACAGACTTACCATATAATCCATCAATCCCACTCCTGCACATATATCTGGAGAAAACTATAATTTGAAAAGACACCTGCACCCCAGTGTTCACAGAAGCACTATTTACAATAGCCAAGACATGGAAGCAACCTAAATGTCCATCGACAGATGACAGATAAAGAAGTTGTAGTATATTTATATAATAGAATACTACTCAGCCATAAAAAAGAATAAAATAATGCCGTTTACAGCAACATGGATGGACCTGGAGATCGTCATTCCAAGTGAACTAAGCCAGAAAAAGAAAGAAAAATGCTATATGATATCGCTTATATGTGGAATGTTAGAAAAAAACCCAGAAGACACAAAAGAACTTATTCACAAAACAGAAACAGACTCACAGACCTAGAGAACAAACTTATGGTTACCAGGGGTCAAGGGGATGGGAAGGGATAAATTGGGACTTTGAGATTTGCCAATACTAAGTACTATATATAAAATAAATAACAAGTTTCTACTATATAGCACAGGGAACTGTATTCAATATCTTACAGTAACCTATAATGAAAAATAGTATGAAAAGGAATATATGTATGTATATGCATAATTGAAACATTATTCTGTGTACCAGAAATTTACCCAACATTGTAAACTGACTATAATTCAATATAAAAGAATGCATATGAAAAAAAACTTGGCATCCGTTCAAATGTCCATCAACTGGGCCCATTTAGACATATCATGAACACTGTGTAGCCATAAGGACATACAAGCAGCCCTCCATGTCCTGGCGGGGGAAGACAGCCCCGACCACTCGTCAGGGGAAAAAGCAGGGGGCAAGACAATGCATGCAGAATGTCACCAACTGTGCCCAGAGGGGAACATACATGAACTGCTATGCGGTTCAGCAAACACTGGTCATCACCGTTACCTCTAGGGAAGGAACTGAGGAGACGGGTGGTGAAGTGGGACAGGGACATTTCGCTACATTCTCTTGCCCTTTTTGAATTTTGAACAAGAATGTATCACCTATTTTAAATGAACAGTTAATGAATAAATGAATGAAATGAATAAAATAAATGAAAAAAATGAGTGCGGGAATGATTATCCCTTAATAAAGAAGCATTTGTAAATAGAGAAATATCCTGGTGAGTGAGAGGGTCCATGCCTGGGCAGGTGTGCCAATATTTGCATCTGCATCTACATGTGCGGGTCCAGCGTGCACACTGATGGGACCACCGCTGTTCTGTGAGGCCAGGTCTTTGCCTCCCAGATGTGGTCTCACTGCTGCCTTTCTGTGCTGCCTCTTCTAGGTATCCGTATGCCCAAGCGATATCAGGCCATCATGTGAGGGCCATGGGAGTAGAGACCACCTGTCTGAGGCATTCCTGGTCCCAGTGCAGGCCTGGAACAGAGGAGATGCTCTGGAAGGACCAGGGAATGAAGGAAGGAAAGAATGGACTCGTGAATGGATGAGGTCGATGCAGCTGCCTCAGGAGGAAGCCCTGCCCAAGGCAGAGGTAGGACTCCTGGGAGGTGACGGGAGACCCGCCCTGCCCCTAGTGCAGGAAGACCTGTCACAGGCAGACCCTCCCATAATGAAGGAGCCACGGCAGGAGGAAGTGAGCCTCTGTCCGAGGGCTGTGTCAGCTGGAGTTCTGTCCTGGGTAGGGGGCTGGCTTCCTGAGGTCCAGTGACTCAGACTAAGAGACCCCAGTGTACTGGGAGGTGGGGGCTGGGAGAAGGGCACGAAGTCCCTAGTGATGCCTGCAAGTGTGGGTGACAGGGTCAGGGTACAAAAGAGGCAGCCTTGGCCTGGGAGGAGGAGAGGGAAGGAAGGGAATTTAGAATCTCAAAGTTCAGAAGTCCTGAGCCAGAGATGAGGGCCTCTGCCTGTGACATGCCCATGGCTCCTCTAGGGACCCAGCAAGCACTGCTTATCTTTGCTGACAAGGTCCTGGGAGGACACCCTGTAGAGGAAGCAGACATGGGAGCAGGGAAGACTGTCTCCACCAGGGTCCTTCAGATTAGCTCAGCAACACCCATCACCCCTCATGAGATGGGAGCCTCTGCTAGTCAACTTCCTGCTGCCCCGCCCCACCCTTGCCCTTTGGCCAGGAGGCCCCACTCACTGTGTGCTAATGGCTCCTGCACATCAGTTGTTGCCCAGCATTGCTAGTCCTTGCTGGGCCCCGGGACTCTCAGAAGGGAGCAAGGCGGGAGCTCTGACTCTGCTGCTGAGTCCCCGTGACTTGGTCAGGCTACCTTAGCCCTCCACTCCCTATCCCTTAACCAGCTGGGGACCTAATTCCTGGAGGGCCAGGAAGACTTGGGGCTCCAAGATGGAGTGGGAGAGGCCATGCAAGTTTGAAAGTCAGAGCAGCAAGACTCTTGGCAATCAGAGTCCTCCCCAGACCCACAGCCATGCCCAAGTCTCCCCAGAGTCCCCAGTGATCCAGTAAAATAACAGTAGCTATTAGTTTACTGAGAACCTACAAGGCACTTTACCTGCTGTCTCATTGAATCCACACAATCCAATAATGTATGTGGGATCATCACCACTTTACCTATGGGACAACTGAGGCTCAGAGACACTGTATAACTCACCCAAGGTCACACAGCTGATCTGTTGAAGAACTGGTATTAGAATCTAGTCTGTCCAGTTCCAGAAACCAGACTCTATACAGGTTTCTCTCGTTTCCAGAGGAGGGCCACTGCCCATGTCTGGCACCTCTCTGTGTCTCCATTGCCTTCCCCTTCCTATCTGGTCAATAAACCATCCCTGTCCAGCTGTTCACATAAAAGGGTCTGTCTACGATATAGGAAAGGAGCTGAAAGATCAGTCATTCAAATCAGGGATTCTGTTCCACTCAGGACTGAACTTTGGGTTCAGGGTAAATTCTCTAAAATGGCCATGAGCTGCCCTGAGTCAGAGAGTCAGAGATTCAAAGGCACTCAGAGAAGGAGAGATCAGTGTGCTCATGGGATGCATGGGGAAACTGACATTCAAAGTGGGGCAAGGCCTTGTCCAAGGATGCATAACATACCAGAGTTAGGGGCAGGATACAGAACTTGAGAAACAGGTCAAGGCCCTCTCAACTGCCCTTTAAACAGACTTAATGTATAAACTTTAAAACCAGTAAAAGAACTTACTGTGTGACCTTGATCACATCTTTATCCCTCTCTGAGGGTTAGTCTCCTTATCTTATGAAGTATAGGGCTAGATGGTCTCTGGACATGACTTTAATACCTGCACCCCCAAGCATGGCTGCTGAGTGGTTTACACCTGTATACATATGTATGTGTGCCACATTCTATGGCCCACAGAGCTCCTTCAAATCCAGTTCATTCATCAGGCCTCATGATGGCCCCACATTCTTGCAGATACAAAATCATGACAGACAAGTTGGACTGGTCCCCAGGCTACATAATGGTGGTGAGGTGGGAAGCCGCATAAAAAAGACTGGCAGGACCCCCAGGCAGGGCCACTACTCTACTGCCAGCACCATCCGGTACCCTGGCCCAGGGGCTCTATCCCACTTTTTGCCTCTGAAACGGCTTACTTCTAGGAAAGTGGAACTTACCCCTAAAATTCTATTGGTTCCGTGAGCTAACTCTTGATTGGCCCATTTGTAGTACTTTATTTGCATGGAGCTCATTCCTGATTGGTTAATTCCCTCACTCCTGATTGGTTATTTCTCTCCCTCCTGATTGGTCCATTTCTACGAAGCTTGTTCCTAATTAGTCAACTTTTGTTATACCTTATTTGCATATGATGTTGCAAAGTGTAACCTGGCAGCCTGTAAAAG